TCTATGACTCTATGATTCTATGATTCTATGATTCTATGATTCTATGATTCTATGATTCTATGACTCTATGATTCTATGATTCTGTGATTCTATGATTCTATGATTCTATTCTGTGATTCTATGACAAGGGGACACGGGCTCAAGCTCTGCCAGGGCAAATTTCAGTTGGATATCAGGAGAAAATTCTTTCACACAGAGAGAGTGATCAGGCATTGGGATGGGCTGCCCAGGGAGGTGGTGGATTCACCGTCCCTGGAGGTTTTTACAAAGAGATTGGACGTGGCCCTGAGTGCCATGATCTAGTCAATGGACTGGGTTTGGACCAAGGGTTGGACTCGATGATCTCGGAGGTCTTTTCCAACCCAATTGATTCTATGATTCTATGATTCTATGATTCTATGATTCTATGATTCTGTGATTCTGTGATTCTGTGATTCTATGATTCTGTGATTCTGTGATTCTGTGATTCTGTGATTCTGTGATTCTGTGATTCTATGATTCTATGATTCTATGATTCTGTGATTCTATGATTCTATGATTCTATGACTCTGTGATTCTATGATTCTGTGATTCTATGATTCTATTCTGTGATTCTATGATTCTATGATTCTATGATTCTATTCTGAGATTCTATGACAAGGGGACACGGGCTCAAGCTCTGCCAGGGGAAATTTCAGTTGGATATCAGGAGAAAATTCTTTCCAGAGAGAGTGATCAGGCATTGGGATGGGCTGCCCAGGGAGGTGGTGGATTCACCGTCCCTGGAGGTTTTTACAAAGAGATTGGACGTGGCCCTGAGTGCCATGATCTAGTAAATGGACTGGGTTTGGACCAAGGGTTGGACTCGATGATCTCGGAGGTCTCTTCCAACCCAATCGATTCTATGATTCTATGACTCTATGATTCTATGATTCTATGATTCTGTGATTCTATGATTCTATGATTCTATGATTCTATGATTCTGTGATTCTATGATTCTGTGATTCTGTGATTCTGTGATTCTGTGATTCTGTGATTCTATGATTCTGTGATTCTATGATTCTATGATTCTGTGATTCTGTGATTCTATGATTCTGTGATTCTGTGATTCTGTGATTCTATGACTCTATGATTCTGTGATTCTATGATTCTATGATTCTATGATTCTATGATTCTGTGATTCTGTGATTCTATGACAAGGGGACATGAGCTCAGGCTCTGCCAGGGGAGGTTTAGGTTGGATATTAGGAAGGAATTCTTTCCAGAGAGGGTGATCAGGCATTGGAACGGCCTGCCCAGAGAGGGGGGGGATTCACCATCCCTGGAGGTTTTTACAAAGAGATTGGACGTGGCCCTGAGTGCCATGATCTAGGAACTGGAGTTGGATCAGGGGGTTGGACGTGATGATCTTGGAGGTCTCTTCCAACCCAATCGATTCTGTGATTCTATGATTCTATGATTCTGTGATTCTATGATTCTGTGATTCTGTGATTCTATGATTCTATGATTCTATGATTCTGTGATTCTGTGATTCTGTGATTCTGTGATTCTATGATTCTGTGATTCTATGATTCTGTGATTCTATGACTCTATGATTCTATGATTCTATGATTCTGTGATTCTGTGATTCTGTGATTCTGTGATTCTGTGATTCTGTGATTCTATGATTCTATGATTCTATGATTCTGTGATTCTATGATTCTATGATTCTATGATTCTGTGATTCTATTCTGTGATTCTATGACAAGGGGACATGGGCTCAAGCTCTGCCAGGGGAAATTTCAGTTGGATATCAGGAGAAAATTCTTTACAGAGAGAGTGATCAGGCATTGGGATGGGCTGCCCAGGGAGGTGGTGGATTCACCATCCCTGGAGGTTTTTAAACGCAGATTGGACGTGGCCCTGAGTGCCATGATCTAGTCAATGGACTGGGTTTGGACCGAGGGTTGGACTCGATGGTCTTGGAGGTCTTTTCCAACCCAATCGATTCTATGATTCTGTGATTCTGTGATTCTGTGATTCGATGATTCTATGATTCTGTGACTCTATGACTCTATGATTCTATGATTCTATGATTCTATGATTCTGTGATTCTATGATTCTATGATTCTGTGATTCTATGATTCTGAGATTCTATGATTCTGTGATTCTATGATTCTATGATTCTATGATTCTGTGATTTTATGACTCTATGATTCTATGATTCTATGATTCTATGATTCTATGATTCTATGATTCTGTGATTCTATGATTCTATGATTCTGTGATTCTATGATTCTATGATTCCATGACAAGGGGACATGAGCTCAGGCTCTGCCAGGGGAGGTTTAGGTTGGATATTAGGAAGGAATTCTTTCCAGAGAGGGTGATCAGGCATTGGAACAGCCTGCCCAGAGAGGGGGGGGATTCACCATCCCTGGAGGTTTTTACAAAGAGATTGGACGTGGCCCTGAGTGCCATGATCTAGGAACTGGAGTTGGATCAGGGGGTTGGACGTGATGAGTTGGAAGTCTCTTCCCCACGCCAATCGAATTCGGTTATTCTATGATTCCTGTATTCGTGATTCTATAGATTCTTCTGTGATTCTCTGTTGGATTCTGTGATTCTATGATTCTATGAATCTATGATTCTGTGATGCTGTGATTCTATGAATTCGATGGGATTCTATGATTCTCGATGATTCTATGATTCTAAGCTAATGATGCTGTGATTCTATGATTTCTATGATATCTGTGATGCTGTGATTTCTGTGATTCCTATTGATTCTATGATTCTGTGAGTCTGTGGATGCCTATGATTCTATGGATTCTATGATTCTGTGATTCTGTGATTCTGTGATTCTATGATTCTATGATTCTATGATTCTATGATTCTATGATTCTATGATTCTGTGATTCTATGATTCTATGATTCTGTGATTCTGTGATTCTGTGATTCTATGATTCTATGATTCTATGATTCCTGCCCAGGGATCGTTTCCCCTTCCCTGTCTCCTGTCCCAGAGACCCAAAATCTGGGATGGGGCCGGGAAATGGCTTTGACATCGGAACCAGCTCCGGGGGCCCAGTTGGAATTTCAAACCACTACACCCCCAAACCCCAGTTCCTGCTGTTTTATCCCACCCCCTCCCCTCCCCATCCCGGTTTCCCCCGGTACCTGCCGGGCTGGAGGCTCCGGGCGGCGGCTCCGTGGCCCCTCCTGTCCCTGCCCTGCAGGTTTTTGGGGAGCTGCACCCCCAGGGAGCAGCTGAGGCGCAGCAGGAGGGTCCCGAAGAGGGCCGGGTAGAGCCCCAGCACGGCGGGCCCGGCCTCGGGGGCCGACAGGAGCTCGTGGAGAGCGCACGTGGCCTGGGAAAAACCGCGGGGAAAACCGGGAATCAATCCGGGAATTAATCGGGGAATTAATCGGGGAATTGATCGGGGAATTAATCGGGGAATTAATTGGGGAATTGGGGACACCTCGCACAGCAAATCACTCCCCCGGGGGACCTCGGAGTGTCCCCAGCTCGTGTCGCTCCCTCTCTCCCGCCGGGCCGGGCTGGGAATTCCGTGGGACCCGGGAATTCCGTGGGACCTGGGAATTGTGTGGGATACCTGGGAATTCTGTGGGACCTGGGAATTCTGTGGGATCTGGGAATTCTGTGGGACCTGGGAATTCTGTGGGATACCTGGGAATTCTGTGGGAAGGACCTGTGGGACCTGGGAATTCCGTGGGACCTGGGAATTCTGTGGGAAGGACCTGGGAATTCTGTGGGACCTGGGAATTCTGTGGGAAAGACCTGGGAATTCTGTGGGACCTGGGAATTCCGTGGGACCTGGGAATTGTGTGGGATCTGGGAATTCTGTGGGACCTGGGAATTCTGTGGGAAAGACCTGGGAATTCTGTGGGAAAGACCTGGGAATTCTGTGGGATCCGGGAATTCCGTGGGATACCTGGAAATTCCATGGGACCTGGGAATTCCGTGGGAAGGACCTGAGAATTCTGTGGGACCTGGGAATTCTGTGGGACCTGGGAATTCCATGGGACCTGGGAATTCTGTGGGATACCTGGGAATTCTGTGGGACCTGGAAATTCTGTGGGATCTGGGAATTCTGTGGGACCCGGGAATTCTGTGGGACCTGGGAATTGTGTGGGATCTGGGAATTGTGTGGGATCTGGGAATTCCGTGGGATACCTGGAAATTCCGTGGGACCTGGGAATTCCGTGGGAAGGACCTGAGAATTCTGTGGGACCTGGGAATTGTGTGGGACCTGGGAATTCCATGGGACCTGGGAATTCTGTGGGACCTGGAAATTCTGTGGGACCTGGGAATTCCGTGGGACCTGGGAATTGTGTGGGATCTGGGAATTCTGTGGGACCTGGGAATTCTGTGGGAAAGACCTGGGAATTCTGTGGGATCCGGGAATTCCGTGGGATACCTGGAAATTCCGTGGGACCTGGGAATTCCGTGGGAAGGACCTGGGAATTCTGTGGGACCTGGGAATTCTGTGGGACCCGGGAATTCCGTGGGACCTGGGAATTCTGTGGGATACCTGGGAATTCTGTGGGATACCTGGGAATTCCATGGGAAGGACCTGGGAATTCTGTGGGACCCAGGAATTCTGTGGGACCTGGGAACTGTGTCGGAGCTGGGAATTCCGTGGGACCTGGGAATTCTGTGGGACCTGGGAATTCTGTAGGACCTGGGAATTCCGTGGGACCTGGGAATTGTGTGGGATCTGGGAATTCCGTGGGATACCTGGGAATTCTGTGGGACCTGGGAATTCTGTGGGAAAGACCTGGGAATTCTGTGGGATCCGGGAATTCCGTGGGATACCTGGGAATTCCGTGGGACCTGGGAATTCCGTGGGAAGGACCTGGGAATTCTGTGGGACCTGGGAATTCTGTGGGAAGGACCTGGGAATTGTGTGGGACCTGGGAATTCTGTGGGACCTGGGAATTCCATGGGACCTGGGAATTGTGTGGGACCTGGGAATTCTGTGGGAAGGACCTGGGAATTCTGTGGGAAGGACCTGGGAATTCTGTGGGATCTGGGAATTCTGTGGGATATCTGGGAATTCCGTGGGACCTGGGAATTCCGTGGGACCTGGGAATTGTGTGGGACCTGGGAATTCTGTGGGAAGGACCTGGGAATTGTGTGGGATACCTGGGAATTCTGTGGGACCTGGGAATTCTGTGGGATCTGGGAATTCTGTGGGACCTGGGAATTCTGTAGGACCTGGGAATTCCGTGGGACCTGGGAATTGTGTGGGATCTGGGAATTCCGTGGGATACCTGGAAATTCCGTGGGACCTGGGAATTCTGTGGGAAGGACCTGGAAATTGTGTGGGATACCTGGGAATTCTGTGGGACCTGGGAATTCTGTGGGATACCTGGGAATTCCGTGGGATCTGGGAATTCCATGGGACCTGGGAATTCTGTGGGATACCTGGGAATTCTGTGGGAAGGACCTGGGAATTGTGTGGGATACCTGGGAATTCTGTGGGACCTGGGAATTCTGTGGGATCTGGGAATTCTGTGGGACCTGGGAATTCCGTGGGAAGGACCTGGGAATTCTGTGGGACCTGGGAATTCTGTGGGACCTGGGAATTCCATGGGACCCAGAAATTCTGTGGGACCTGGGAATTGTGTCGGAGCTGGGAATTCTGTGGGACCTGGGAATTCTGTGGGACCCGGGAATTCTGTGGGACCTGGGAATTCCGTGGGATCTGGAAATTCCGTGGGACCTGGGAATTCTGTGGGACCTGGGAATTCTGTGGGAAGGACCTGGGAATTCTGTGGGACTCGGGAATTCTGTGGGACCTGGGAATTCTGTGGGATCTGGGAATTCTGTGGGAAAGACCTGGGAATTGTGCGGGAAAGACCTGGAAATTCTGTGGGACCTGGGAATTCTGTGGGACCTGGGAATTCTGTGGGATACCTGGGAATTCTGTGGGATACCTGGGAATTCCGTGGGACCTGGGAATTCCGTGGGACCTGGGAATTGTGTGGGAAAGACCTGGGAATTCCGTGGGACCTGGGAATTGTGTGGGACCTGGGAATTGTGTGGGACCTGGGAATTCCGTGGGATACCTGGGAATTCTGTGGGATCTGGGAATTCTGTGGGACCTGGGAATTCTGTGGGATACCTGGGAATTCTGTGGGACCTGGGAATTCCGTGGGAAGGAAGGGGATTTGGTCCCTCAAATCACTCCCCCGGGTGACCTCGGAGTGTCCCCGAGATGAAAAAGGAAAAGGAAAAGGAAAAGGAAAAGGAAAAGGAAAAGGAAAAGGAAAAGGAAAAGGAAAAGGAAAAGGAAAAGGAAAAGGAAAAGGAAAAGATAAAGAAAAAGGAAAAGGAAAAGGAAAAGGAAAAGGAAAAGGAAAAGGAAAAGGAAAAGGAAAAGGAAAAGGAAAAGGAAAAGGAAAAGGAAAAGGAAAGGAAAAGAAAGGAAAAAAAAGAAAAAAGGAAAAGGGGAGAAAAAAAAAAAGGAAAAGGAAAAGGAAAAGATTTTATTTTTTTTTGAAAGAAAAAGGAAAAAAAGGAAAAAAAAAGATTTATTTTTTTTTAAAACAAAAAAAAATAAAAAAAAAGATTTTAATTTTAAAGAAAAAAAAAAAAAAAACAAAAAAAAAAAAAAAAAGAGGAAAAAAAAGGAAAAAAAAAGGAAAAAAAAGGGAAAAAGGACAGAAAAACGACAAAAAATGGAAAAAAACAAGAAAAAAAAAAGGGGAAAAAGGAAAAAGGAAAAAAGGAAAACAACGGACCAGGAGAAACGGAAAAGGAAAAAAAAAGGAAAAGGAAAAGGAAAAGGAAAAGGAAAAGGAAAAGGAAAAGGAAAAGGAAAAGGAAAAGGAAAAGGAAAAGGAAAAGGAAAAGGAAAAGATCCAGGAGGATCTTTACACCCAGGAAGGGGCAGGGGGTTCATAGGAAGGGTCAGGGGGTCCCAGGAATGGTCAGGGGTGCCAGGAATGGTCAGGGGGTCCCAGGAAGGGGCAGGGGGTGCCAGGAATGGTCAGGGGGTCCCAGGAATGGTCAGGGGTTCCCAGGAAGGGTCGAGGGGTCCCAGGAATGGTCAGGGGGTACCAGGAAGGGTCAGGGGGTCCCAGGACACACTCACAGCCAGGGGCAGGGGGGTGCCAGGAATGGTCAGGGGGTGCCAGGAATGGTCAGGGGGTCCCAGGAATGGTCAGGGGGTGCCAGGAATGGTCAGGGGGTGCCAGGAATGGTCAGGGGTTCCCAGGAAGGGTCAGGGGTTCCCAGGAATGGTCAGGGGGTCCCAGGAAGGGTCAGGGGGTCCCAGGAATGGTCAGGGGTTCCCAGGAAGGGTCAGGGGGTCCCAGGACACACTCACAGCCAGGGGCAGGGGGTCCCAGGAATGGTCAGGGGTCCCAGGAATGGTCAGGGGGTCCCAGGTCCAGGACACACTCACCGCCAGGGGCAGGGGGTCCCAGGAATGGTCAGGGGGTCCCAGGACACACTCACAGCCAGGGGCAGGGGTTCCCAGGAAGGGTCAGGGGGTCCCAGGACACCACCACAGCCAGGGGCAGGGGGGGTTCGTCCCCGGACAGGGTCAGGGGGGTCCCCAGGGGACACACTCAACAGCCATGGGCAGGGGGGGTCCCAGAAGGGTCAGGGGGGCGGGTCCCAGGGACACCAACTCACAGCCCGGGGCAGGGGGGGGGGGGGGGGGGGGGGGGTGGGGGGTGGTCGGGTCCCAGGAAAGGATAAGGGGGTGCCAGGAATGGGTCAGGGTTCCCAGTAAGGGTCCAGGGGGTCCCAGGAAAGTGTGGGGGTCCCAGGAAGGGTCAGGGGGTCCCAGGACACACTCACAGCCAGGGGCAGGGGGTCCCAGGAAGGGGCAGGGGGTCCCAGGAATGGTCAGGGGGTGCCAGGAATGGTTAGGGGGTCCCAGGACACACTCACAGCCAGGGGCAGGGGGTCCCAGGAAGGGGCAGGGGTTCCCAGGAATGGTCAGGGGGGGGTGCCAGGACTGGTTAGGGCGGTCCCAGGGACACACTTCACAGCCCAGGGGCAGGGCGTGTCCCACGGCAGGGGCCAGGGGCGTCCCAGGCAGGAAGGTCAGTGGTTCCCAGTACATGGATCAGGGGGTGTTCCCCAGGATGGTCAGGGGTCCCGGAATGGCAGGGGCGGGGTCCCAGGAATGGTCAGGGGTTCCCAGGAATGGTCAGGGGGTGCCAGGAATGGTCAGGGGGTCCCAGGAATGGTCAGGGGTCCCAGGAATGGTCAGGGGTCCCAGGAAGGGTCAGGGGGTCCCAGGAAGGGTCAGGGGGTCCCAGGACACACTCACAGCCAGGGGCAGGGGGTGCCAGGAATGGTCAGGGGGTCCCAGGAATGGTCAGGGGGGTCCCAGGAATGGTCAGGGGGTTCCCAGGAATGGTCAGGGGGTTCCAGGAATGGTCAGGGGGGGGGGGTTTTGCCAGAAGGTTTCTTCCGGGGTCCCGGGACCACTCAAAGCCAGGGGACAGGGGGGTTCCCAGGAATGGTCCAGTGGGGTCCCAGGAAGGGTCAGGGGGTTCCCAGGAAGGGTCAGGGGGTCCCAGGAAACACTCACAGCCAGGGGCAGGGGGTTCCCAGGAAGGGTCAGGGGGTCCCAGGACACACTCACAGCCAGGGGCAGGGCGGTGGCCACGCGCTCGGCTCCCCCGCCCAGCAGGAAGCTCTTGCTCTCCTTGTAGGGGATGTCCCTGCTGAGCTTCTCCAGGAGCTGCTCCAGCACCTGGGAGGTGAGGGCGGGCTCCGTGGCCAGGGACCTCCACATGGCACACGTGTGGCTGCGGGAAAACAGGCAAAGGGGGGCTTTGGCACCGGGAAAGCCACGGGGAGAGGGAGAAATCCCACCCCAGCGACCCCTGAAGAACACCCAGAGCCTCCCCTGGCGCCCCAAAATTCCCAGTTTTCCCCCCAAGGGAACAGCCTGGGAGCTGCTGCTGGTTCGTGTCAGGAATGGAGGATCAGGAATGTTGGGAGGAGGAGGAGGAGGAGGAGGGAAACTCTGCTCCAGGCTCGGCGCCGACTCACTGAGCAGGTCCCTAAAGCATCCCAAAATTCCCAGCTCTCCAGGGACAGCTCTGCTTCCAGAGCCCCAGAGCCTGGGAAAACAGCCTAAAATCAGCCCCAGTCCTCCAGCTCCCAAAGGAAATCCCAGAAGGATCTGGGTGCTGGAGGAAGGAGCCAAAGGAGGATGTGGAAAACCCCCTAAAAATCAGCTCTGACCCTCCAGCTCCCAAAGGAAATCCCAGCAGGGTCTGGATGCTGGAGAAAGGAGCCAAAGGAGGATGTGGAAAACCCCCTAAAAACCAGCTCTGACCCTCCAACATCCAAAGGAAATCCCAGCAGGGTCTGGATACTGGAGGAAGGAGCCAAAGAAGGATGTGGAGAAGACCCTAAAAACCAGCTCCAACCCTCCAGCACCCAAAAGAAATTCCAGCTGGGTTTGGATACTGGAGAAAGGAGCCAAAGGAGGATGGGGAAAATATCCCAAAAATCAGCTCACACCCTCCAACACCCAAAGGCAATCCCAGAAAGATCTGGATACTGGAGGAAGGAGCCAAAGGATGATGTGGAGAACACCCTAAAAATCAGCTCTGACCCTCCAGCTCCCAAAAGAAATCCCAGCAGGGTCTGGATGCTGGAGAAAGGAGTTTATGGGAAACACCCTAAAAATCAGCTCTGACCCTCCAGCATCCAAAGGAAATCCCAGCAGGATCTCGGTGCTGGAGAAAGGAGCCAAAGGATGGTTTGGAGAACACCCTAAAAACCAGCTCCAGCCCTCCAGCACCCAAAAGAAACCCCAGCAGGGTTTGGATACTGGAGAAAGGAGCCAAAGGGTTTTTATGGGCAACACCCTAAAAATCAGTTCTGACCCTCCAGCATCCAAAGGAAGGGAATTCAGATCCAGAAGGATCTGGGTGCTGGAGAAAGGAGCCAAAGGAGGATGTGGAGAAGACCCTAAAAACCAGCTCTGACCCTCCAGCACCCAAAGGAAATCCCAGAAGGATCTGGGTGCTGGAGGAAGGAGCCAAAGGACGAGGTGGAAACTCCCCCCGGAAAATCATCTCCGGTCCCGGATCTCCCAAAGGAAATCCCAGCAGGATCTGGATGCTGGAGGAAGGAGCCAAAGGAGGATGTGGAGAACACCCTAAAAACCAGCTCCAACCCTCCAGCACCCAAAAGAAATCCCAGCTGGGTTTGGATACTGGAGGAAGGAGCCAAAGGGGGGTGCGAGAAGCCAAAGGATGAAGCGGAAACTCCCCCCGGAAAATCATCTCCAATCCCAGATCTCCCAAAGGAAATCCCAGCAGGATCTGGATACTGGAGAAAGGAGCCAAAGGAGGATGTGGAGAAGACCCTAAAAACCAGCTCCAGCCCTCCAGCACCCAAAAGAAATCCCAGAAGGATCTGGGTGCTGGAGGAAGGAGCCAAAGGACGAGGTGGAAACTCCCCCCCAGAAAATCCTCTCTGGTCCCGGATCTCCCAAAGGAAACCCCAGCAGGGTTTGAGGGGTGGGAGGAGGGCGTGGGCAGGACCTGTCGAAGGGCAGGGAGCTGCCCAGGAGGCTGGAGACCACGAGGCTGGAGTGCTGGGCCGCCAGGATGTACACGGTCTGCTGGGCCGCCTTCCGCAGGTGCTCCTCGTCCACCTCCTCCAGCTTCCCGTGGATGATGCTCACGAGGTCGGGGATCTGGGAGAGGGAGGATGGGCAGAGAGACAGGGGATGAGCCTGGAATGGGGGGTCAAGGGGCTCCAGGAGAGCTGGAGAGGGACTGGGGCCAAGGGCTGGAGGGACAGCACCCAGGGAATGGCTTCCCAGGGTTAGGGGGGATAGTGGGAAGGGATTCCTGGCTGGGAGGGTGGGGAGGGGCTGGGATGGAATTCCCAGAGGGGCTGTGGCTGCTCCATCCCTGGGAGTGTCCCAGTCCAGGTTGGGTCCCCCTGGGATGGTGGGAGGTGTCCCTGCCCATGGCAGGGGGTGGGAATGGATGATCCTTAAAATTCCTTCCCACTCGAATCGTTCCACTGGAGCCAGGCTGGGAAAACTGGGAATATCCAGCCTGGAGAAGGGAAGGATCCAGGGAGACCTTGGAGCCCCTTCCAGGGCCTGAAGGGGCTCCAGGAGAGCTGGAGAGGGACTGGGGCCAAGGGCTGGAGGGACAGCACCCAGGGAATGGCTTCCCAGGGTTAGGTGGGATAGTGGGAAGGGATTCCTGGCTGGGAGGGTGGGGAGGGGCTGGGATGGAATTCCCAGAGGAGCTGTGGCTGCCCCATCCCTGGGAGTGTCCAAGGGCAGGTTGGATCACCCTGGGATAGTGGAAAAGTGTCCCTGCCTGGAATTAAGTGACCTTTAAGGTCCCTTCCCACCCATCTCATCCCATCCCAAGGCTCCATGAGCTGCCTGTGGCCCCGGGATGGAGCCCCTGGTTCCTCCCGCTCCCCAGTGGGAGCAGCTGGATGCAGGAAGCCCTGGAGGCCGGGTGGGCTCGGGAGCTGCAGCTCCAGCCTCGGGAAAACCCTTCTGTGGGAATCCTTGGCACCTGGAAGGGTCCCAAGGGGGGCTCTGGATCCACGGGGATTCCAAGAACCGGGGTGAGGGGTGGGATGAGGGGCGACCACCGTGGGAGCCCCGGGGCTGAGCTCCTCTTTCAGGGGTGTTTCCCGTGCTGGCAGCTCCAGAGGGAGTTAAACCCATGGAATCACGGAATTGTTGAGGTTGGAAAACCCCCCAGAGCCCACCGAGTCCAACCATCCCCCCCGGGGCTGGGGTGGAATTCCCAGAGGAGCTGTGGCTGCCCCTGGATCCCTGGGAGTGCCCAAGGCCGAGGTTGGAGCAACCTGGGATAGCAGGAGGTGTCCCTGCCCACGGTGGGGGGTGGCACTGGGTGGGATTTAAGGTCCATTCCCACCCAAACCGCTCTGGGATTCTGTGATCCTTCCCCGTCCTGCCACCCAGGAGGCCCCAGGGGATTCCCAGAAAAAAAAAAAAAAAAGACCCGGCAAGGACACCCTGGAATTGTGAGGCTGGAAAATCCCTCAGAGCCCACCGAGTCCAACCATTGCCCCGTGTCCCCAAGTGCCACCTCCCCAGGGATGCTCCATCCCCCCCCCAGGGATGGGGATCCAGGGCTGGGCAGCCCTTCCCAGCAGGGATTTTTCCCAAGATCCCAAATAAACCTCCCCTGGCCCAGCTTGGGGCCGTTTCCCCTCGTCCTGTCCCTGTTCCCTGGGAGCAGAGCCCGATCCCACCTGGATCCACCCTCCTGTCCCCCTGGATTCCCTCTGAGCCCCCTTTTCTCCAGGCTGAGCCCCCCCAGCTCCCTCAGGAGTTCTCCAGACCCTTCCCAGCCCCGTTCCCATCCCTGGCCACGCTCCAGCCCCTCCATGATCCCTCTTTCCTTCCCAATCCCCCCGGGATGGTCACCTCAGGACACCTCTGGGGCATCCACGGCCCCTTTTTCCAGAGGAGGAACCCAAAGGAAAAAACCCCCCCTGAGCCCACCAGGTCCCCCCAGCCCTGCCCGTGTCCCCAAGTGCCACCTCCCCAGGGATGCTCCATCATCCCCCAGGGATGGGGATCCAGGGCTGGGCAGCCCCTTCCCAGCAGGGATTTTCCCCAATATCCCACCTGAGGCTGTTTCCCCTCGTCCTGTCCCTGTTCCCTGGGAGCAGAGCCCGATCCCACCTGGATCCACCCTCCTGTCCCCCTGGATTCCCTCTGCCCCCCTTTTCTCCAGGCTGAGCCCCCCCAGCTGCTCCTGGTGCTCCAGACCCTTTCCCAGCTCCGTTCCCTTCCTTGGAAACATTCCAGCTCCTCCATGGCCTTCTCCTTGTGAGGGTCCCCCCACTACAAGCCCCCCTCATGCCCAGGCCACCCCTGCCCGTGTCCCCAAGTGCCACCTCCCCAGGGATGCTCCATCCCCCCCCAGGGATGGGGATCCAGGGCTGGGCAGCCCTTCCCAGCAGGATTTTTCCCAATATCCCAACTAAACCCGGGCCTGGGAGCAGCAGAGGAGCCGGAGCTGAAGGTGAGGAGACCCCTCAGCGCTCCCTCCGAGCTGCCAAAGGCGCGTGAAGGCCGAGGGGAAGTTCGGGGGCCGGCGGCGAATTCCCGGGATTAGGCCGAATTCCCGGGATTAGGTGGGATCTGGAGGAGGCTCCGGCCCCCGGCTGAGCTCAGCTCGGCCCCAGCGGCTCCCAGGCTTAGCAACAGGTCGGGTTTCAGGATCTGGGGCCGACCCAAAGGTGAGTCACGGCAGCTGGAGCGTTCCCAGGTCGGATCCCGGGGCTCCGGTGCCCAAAAAATCCCGGGGAAAAGCGGGAAGGGGGAACCCGGGGTTTCCAGTTACTGAGGGAGGGAGGGAGGGAGAGAAGGGGGGGATTAGACTAAAAAGCCTCCTGTGTCCAGCACCTCTGAGCCCTCCCCACAAAACATTCCAGCTGGATTTCCAGCCGGGAACAACGGGGCTGCTCCGAAGGTTTCATGGGAATGAGAGCTCGCCTGGGGACACTGAACTCCTCAGCTCCAGTCGGAGCCGGAGCGGGGCCAGGGGAGCTGGGAACAGCAACGGGAGGAGGGAGGGAATGTCAGGAACAGCAACGGGAGGAGGGAGGGAATGTCAGGAACAGCAACGGGAGGAGGGAGGGAATGTCAGGAACAGGAATGGGAGGATGGAGGGAATGTCAGGAACAGCAACGGGAGGGAGGAGGGAATGTCAGGAACAGGAATGGGAGGGTGGAGGGAATGTCAGGAACAGCAACGGGAGGGAGGAGGGAACGTCAGGAACAGGAATGGGAGAGTGGAGGGAATGTCAGGAACACCAACGGGAGGAGGGAGGGAATGTCAGGAACCAAGAGGAGGGTGGAGGGAATGTCAGGAACAGCAAGGGGAGGAGGGAGGGAATGTCAGGAACAGCAAGGGGAGGAGGGAGGGAATGTCAGGAACAGCAATGGGAGAGTAGAGGAGGAAAGGGAATGTCAGGAACACAAATGGGAGGAATGAGGAGGGAGGGAATGTCAGGAACACCAAGGGGAGGGTGGAGGGAATGTCAGGAACAGCAAGGGGAGGGAGGGAGGGAACGTCAGGAACAGGAATGGGAGGATGGAGGGAATGTCAGGAACAGGAATGGGAGGGAGGAGGGAATGTCAGGAACAGCAATGGGAGGAGGGAGGGAATGTCGGAACAGCAACGGGAGGGTGGAGGGAATGTCAGGAACAGGAATGGGAGGGAGGAGGGAATGTCAGGAACAGGAATGGGAGGGAGGAGGGAATGTCAGGAACAGGAATGGGAGGATGGAGGGAATGTCAGGAACAGGAATGGGAGGGTGGAGGGAATGTCAGGAACAGCAAGGGGAGGGTGGAGGGAATGTCAGGAACACAAATGGGAGGAATGAGGAGGGAGGGAATGTCAGGAACACCAAGAGGAGGGTGGAGGGAATGTCAGGAACAGCAGTGGGAGGGTGGAGGGAATGTCAGGAACACCAAGGGGAGGATGGAGGGAATGTCAGGAACACTGATGGGAGGAGGGAGGGAATGTCAGGAACACCAAGGGGAGGAGGGAGGGAATGTCAGGAACAGCAATGGGAGGGTGGAGGGAATGTCAGGAACAGGAATGCGAGAGTGGAGGGAATGTCAGGAACAGGAATGGGAGGGGGGAGGGAATGTCAGGAACAGCAATGGGAGGAGGGAGGGAATGTCAGGAACAGCAACGGGAGGGTGGAGGGAATGTCAGGAACAGCAATGGGAGAGTGGAGGGAATGTCAGGAACAGCAATGGGAGGAGGAAGGAGAGAGGGGAATGTCAGGAACAGCAATGGCAGGGTGGAGGGAATGTCAGGAACAGCAATGGGAGGGAGGAGGGAATGTCAGGAACAGGAATGGGAGAGTAGAAGAGGAAAGGGAATGTCAGGAACACAAATGGGAGGAATGAGGAGGGAGGGAATGTCAGGAACACCAAGGGGAGGAGGGAGGGAATGTCAGGAACAGCAATGGGAGGAGGGAGGAGAGAGGGGAATGTCAGGAACACCAAGAGGAGGGTGGAGGGAATGTCAGGAACACAAATGGGAGGAATGAGGAGGGAGGGAATGTCAGGAACACCAACGGGAGGGTGGAGGGAATGTCAGGAACACCAACGGGAGGGTGGAGGGAATGTCAGGAACACCAACGGGAGGGTGGAGGAGGATGGAGGAGGGAGGGGAATGACAGGAACACCAATGGGAGGAGGGAGGGAATGTCAGGAACAGCAACGGGAGGGTGGAGGGAATGTCAGGAACAGGAATGGGAGAGTGGAGGGAATGTCAGGAACAGCAATGGGAGGGTGGAGGAGGGAGGGGAATGTGAGTGGAGAACGAGGAAGGTCAGGAGGGACAGTCCCCAGAAAACTTTGGGACAAGAGTGTTCCTTTGGGAAAAACCGTGGTGGGAATGGCCGGTGTGAGCCAGGGGATGGTGGGGACAGAGAGGGGACACGGAGCTGCTCCCAGGGCTGGAGCCCCTCTGCTCTGGAGCCAGGCTGGGAGAGCTGGGAATGTTCCCCTGGAGAAGGGGAAGGATCCAGGGAGACCTTGGAGCCCCTTCCAGGGCCTGAAGGGGCTCCAGGAGAGCTGGAGAGG